CTACAATGGACAGGAACCTAGCTGGGGTCCTCGTCCACATGTTGGTGACTTCTTCTTGAACGTAGATCTTCAGATGACGACAGCAGTGCTGGAATCCCGGTCCCTGTGCGGACCCGGTTTATATGCTGCTGGGTCATGGCTGGCCCTGCCCTTGGCCGCGAGCACCTTCGAGAAACCTCTTGTCGATTCTCGACCCTTCCCATAGGATCTTACCTGACACGTGACCACCCCCAAGCCCCCACCTGGGGCCCTTGTGTAGATCTTACTGGTCATGTGCCTTCCAGGGTTAACCAGAGTGCCATGGCCCAGGGTAACCTGATCCCATGGCTGAAACTCTCACACTCCCTCCTGTAGGAGTCAGCACTACACGCCACGTGTGGTGCCACTGCGCTCTCCCAGTGCTCACCAAGCCCCCTCTAGGGTTGGTACTACACCCACCTACGGGGTGTCCGCGATGACAATGCATCGCACGTCGTGCTTCGCTAGAGCCAGCACCACACAGTGACATCCGCGATGTCACTACACATGTATAAATAACATTACGTACCCCCAGGGGTCCGTGTACCACCCCCCCCCCCCCACCCCGGTTGATACCCACTGATGGTGTAGAGACTGCATGAGCCGTTGTTATCGCTGGTTGTTTGCTTTGGGCGACAGCGCCGCTTCATGGGCCTCACCATCGTCGTGGTCGTCATCACGACCCGTAGTAAATGTCCACTGTACATTTCGTAATTTTGTTTCCACTTTCCTCTGTCTTGCAGTGGCAATGTGCTCAAGTAGTGCCACATCTTTGTGGCACCATTCTCTTATGGCATCAATTTCTGGCACCAATTCTCTTATGAACCACTTCACACTGTGCCAAATTCTTCTTTGGTTCTTTTGGTAAAGTCACGTAGAATGAGAATAAAATAATAAATTGATAAAATAACACAATAATATTCTCACGACGTTTCGGCCACAACACAAGCGGCCTTCATCAGGTGAAGGGACGAGACTGTCTGGTAGGACAGCGCTGGAGTGAAAGAGCCACGTTCAGATCACGGCCTTTAAGCTGTGTGAGAGGAACAAAGCGCCTTAGAGTCGCAGCATCTCTTCAGAAAGGTGAGAGACTCGATTAGTTGAGCCTTCTTATCCCGAAGTCTGTTGAATGATCTTAAGGATGTGTGGAATCCCTCCCCGTAGAGGCGGTTAAATTTCGATTTAAAGCTTTCGTGACTGCAATGATTCATCTTCTTTGGTTCTTTCGGTAAAGTCACGTAGAATGAGAATAAAATAATAAATTGATAAAATAAAATAACACAATATAATTCTCACGACGTTTCGGCCACAACACAAGCGGCCTTCATCAGGTGAAGGGACGAGACTGTCTGGTAGGACAGCGCTGGAGTGAAAGAGCCACGTTCAGATCACGGCCTTTAAGCTGTGTGAGAGGAACAAAGCGCCTTAGAGTCGCGGCATCTCTTCAGAAAGGTGAGAGACTCGATTAGTTGAGCCTTCTTATTCCGAAGTCTGTTGAATGATCTTAAGGATGTGTGGAATCCCTCCCCGTAGAGGCGGTTAAATTTCGATTTAAAGCTTTCGTGACTGCAATGATTCATTTTCTTTGGTTCTTTCGGTAAAGTCACGTAGAATGAGAATAAAATAATAAATTGATAAAATAAAATAACACAATAATATTCTCACGACGTTTCGGTCACAACACAAGCGGCCTTCATCTCATTCTACGTGACTTTACCGAAAGAACCAAAGAAGATGAATCATTGCAGTCACGAAAGCTTTAAATCGAAATTTAACCGCCTCTACGGGGAGGGATTCCACACATCCTTAAGATCATTCAACAGACTTCGGGATAAGAAGGCTCAACTAATCGAGTCTCTCACCTTTCTGAAGAGATGCCGCGACTCTAAGGCGCTTTGTTCCTCTCACACAGCTTAAAGGCCGTGATCTGAACGTGGCTCTTTCACTCCAGCGCTGTCCTACCAGACAGTCTCGTCCCTTCACCTGATGAAGGCCGCTTGTGTTGTGGCCGAAACGTCGTGAGAATATTATTGTGTTTTTTTATTTTATCAATTTATTATTTTATTCTCATTCTACGTGACTTTACCGAAAGAACCAAAGAAGATGAATCATTGCAGTCACGAAAGCTTTAAATCGAAATTTAACCGCCTCTACGGGGAGGGATTCCACACATCCTTAAGATCATTCAACAGACTCCGGGATAAGAAGGCTCAACTAATCGAGTCTCTCACCTTTCTGAAGAGATGCCGCGACTCTAAGGCGCTTTGTTCCTCTCACACAGCTTAAAGGCCGTGATCTGAACGTGGCTCTTTCACTCCAGCGCTGTCCTTCCAGACAGTCTCGTCCCTTCACCTGATGAAGGCCGCTTGTGTTGTGGCCGAAACGTCGTGAGAATATTATTGTGTTATTTTATTTTATCAATTTATTATTTTATTCTCATTCTACGTGACTTTACCGAAAGAACCAAAGAAGATGAATCATTGCAGTCACGAAAGCTTTAAATCGAAATTTAACCGCTTCTACGGGGAGGGATTCCACACATCCTTAAGATCATTCAACAGACTTTGGGATAAGAAGACTCAACTAATCGAGTCTCTCACCTTTCTGAAGAGATGCCGCGACTCTAAGGCGCTTTGTTCCTCTCACACAGCTTAAAGGCCGTGATCTGAACGTGGCTCTTTCACTCCAGCGCTGTCCTACCAGACAGTCTCGTCCCTTCACCTGATGAAGGCCGCTTGTGTTGTGGCCGAAACGTCGTGAGAATATTATTGTGTTATTTTATTTTATCAATTAATTATTTTATTCTCATTCTACGTGACTTTACCGAAAGAACCAAAGAAGATGAATCATTGCAGTCACGAAAGCTTTAAATCGAAACTGTGCCAAATTCTTGAGTTTTCTTTAGTTCCTTGGGATTCTCTCTACATGTCTTTTTTATCTTTAGCGTCTTGGGTTGAACTCCAAACCTCCTGGTTTTTATCTTCAGTTTCTCTGGATTCTCTCATACAGGACGAAATCATAGCCACAAAGGCAAGTGGATTGAGTTGGCTTTGGTGCCACCCGTCAATCGGAGTTGCATTACTCCACACCTGCTGATACAGCGGTGGAAATTCCACGTTACTTTGGCGGGGAACGAGCTTATTCACTGGATAACCTGTACAGATGTAATTGTATGCACCTCGTCACCCAATCGCTTCATCGTGTTCCACGTCGAGGGACGTTTGCAGGTTTGTATGTTCTTCTTTCACACCACCGTACGTAGCTAACCATGCTCATTGGAGGTGCAGGGGGAAGGACAAACAAACTAAACACACCAACAAGAAGCAGTTTAATCGTGAGAACGAATTCAATTAAAAAAAAACTCCACGCAGCCCTCACTGCCCTGGTCTGACGGTTGATGTCAAAATCTCACTCCCAGTCACGAATAAAACTCTATCAACTACAAACGGCAGAGATAGTTATTTATACTGCAGGAGGAATCCGATGTAGGCCTCGGCAAGGTAAGGTAATTTACCCTTTTTACCAGGTAAAAAGGTAGCAAAGGTGTCGACATACCAAGGGGTAAGGTAATGAGTAGGGTAAAGGTAGCTCAGAAGAATTACCCGGTAGGGTAAAGGTAGCGCGAATTATTATCTGGGAAATATGGTACCTTGTTTACCGCTAACAGCTCCGTGGCGCAGTCCGTGGCCTTCATTTAATAAGTAATTTTAAAACAAACTTAAAAAAACACACGCTTTTATCAAATGTACGAGTAATGGCAGAACTCCACGACTCTAGGAAGTGGCCCCGAAGCTTGCCATAACGTAAGGGACCGTGGCCAATTACAGCCAACGTCAGTTGACAGTGGACAATTAGACCCAAGCCGAAACATAACATATAAAAATGTTTAAAAATATATATTTTTTATAATAGAATATAGTATTGTCATCAGTATGACATAAGCATACCAAGTTTCAGTCGATACCACATTGGGAAGTGGGTTAAAATTGAGTTACAAGATTTGAGGATACGACAACAGAATGAGTTAAAAGAAAGCGTGTAAAATTGGAATCATCGAGAGTATTCTACATGAATATGCTCTACCTAGCATTTACCTGTTAAAAACCTTTTTCATGTGTAGTACCCCAGTAATTACCCTGTAATCGGGTCATTTGTATGGGGTAAGGGTAAAAGGTAGGGTAAAGGTAGGCTCGTTTTTACCTTTTACCTTACCTTGCCGAGGCCTAATCAGATGAGCCATAAAGCTATTTTGCACACTATGCAGTAGGGGCACGGAGTCAGAAGGTATATAAAAGGTAAGCAAATCACTAAACACATACAAATAAAACTAAACTTTTATTTTAACAGGTAAGGCCCTACTGAGCTATGGGTTTCTTTTTCAGAAGCCACCTGGCCACAAATGATAGCTCAACGAAGTGGCTTATTATGTGGAAGTGTATAGCAGCCAAATACTCTAAACATACGTTTATAAATGTGGAGGGAAAAACCGGAGGACCTGGAAACAAATCCACACGACCACGGGGAGAACATGCAAACACCAAATATACAGGTGTCAGGATTGAACCCACGACCTCATGTATACCAATCGAGATAGTTAACATCTCGTCATCTATATTGACGAAACAAGAACGCTGCTGCCGCCACAACCCAACGACGAGAACGTTCCGGTGTAGCAGACCGCGGACACAGTCGTGGAGCGGTCGAGCGCAATTTTTTCTTTCACGGAAATACATTTTGTGATACACAAGCATGACACTTGCGAATGATAAACGCAACGGTATCTATATTTTAGAAACAAACGTCAGCCACCAAATATTCAAGGTTACTGTCTTGTTTCCAACATTGTCACCGTTTTTCAGAATCAATATTTATTGGCAACTGAGGGAGAAATCCGATGAGCTATAAAGCTCTTGTGCAGTAGCGACCATCTTTGAATTGGGCGGCCATCTTTTGTATTTTGGTGGCTCGCGGTTTTTAATTTTCTATTGTGCGACGTTAGGGGGCACTATGTGCCAAATGTTGTGCTTGCACTCCAGTTTGAAGGATTATTACGACTCTGCAGTAGTTGCGCCGTAAACATAAATACGGTGACGTCGCGTGCCGTGAGCGCGTCACGGGGTCGCGACACCGGCCTGTGGACGCCGAGCTCGCAGCCTCGCACACACGGAGAGAGACCGCGCGATCGCACAGCCCTCTCACTCATACCTCAACACACAGCTTCCTCGTCACACTCAGCCTCACCATCACACACAGCCCTCCCACTCAGCCTCATCACACACAGCCCGCTCACGTCCGCCTCCTCCTCACTCTCGGAGACCACCGATCTCACGGTGGTGCCGCTGCCGCCGCCGCCGCTGCTGCTTCCCGAGTCCCGGGCCTTGCCGCGACCGCCGTGAGTCGCGACTGCTCACCCACTCGCCGAGCCTCTCATCTACTCACTGAGCCTCTCACTCACACACTCACCTACCCTCTCACCGAGCCTCTCACTCGCCGAGCCTCTCACTCACACACTCACCTACCCTCTCACTCACCCAGCCCTCATCATCCACTGACTCAACGAGGCTCTGATCCACTCACCCACCCCATCGCCCACTCACCCACCCCATCGCCCACTCACCCACCCCATCGCCCACTCACCCACCCCATCACCCACCCCACTCACCCACCCCACTCACCCACTCACCCACTCACCCACCCACCCCACCCACCCCACTCACCCCACTCACCCACCCCACTCACCCACCCACCCCACTCACCCACCCACCCCACTCACCCACCCCACTCACCCACCCCACTCACCCACCCACCCCACTCACCCACCCCACTCACCCACCCCACTCACCCACCCACCCCACTCACCCACTCCACTCACCCACCCACCCCACTCACCCACCCCACTCACCCACCCACCCCACTCACCCACCCCACTCACCCACCCACCCCACTCACCCACCCCACTCACCCACCCACCCCACTCACCCACCCACCCCACTCACCCACCCCACTCACCCACCCACCCCACCCACCCACCCACCCCACTCACCCACCCACCCCACTCACCCACCCACCCCCCCACCCACCCACCCCACTCACCCACCCCACTCACCCACCCCACTCACTCACCCACCCCACTCACCCACCCCACTCACCCACCCACCCCACTCACCCACCCCACTCACCCACCCACCCCACTCACCCACCCACCCCACTCACCCACCCACCCCACTCACCCACCCCACTCACCCACCCCACTCACCCACCCACCCCACTCACCCACCCCACTCACCCACCCACCCCACTCACCCACCCCACTCACCCACCCACCCCACTCACCCACCCACCCCACTCACCCACCCCACTCACCCACCCACCCCACTCACCCACCCCACTCACCCACCCCACTCACCCACCCACTCACCCACCCCACTCACCCCACTCACCCACCCCACTCACCCACCCACCCACCCCACCCACCCACCCCACTCACCCACCCACCCACCCCACTCACCCACCCCACTCACCCCACTCACCCACCCCACTCACCCACCCACCCACCCCACTCACCCACCCCACTCACCAACCCACCCACCCCACTCACCCACCCCACTCACCCACCCCACTCACCCACCCCACTCACCCACCCACCCCACTCACCCACCCCACTCACCCCACCCACCCCACTCACCCACCCACTCACCCACCCACCCCACTCACCCACCCCACTCACCCACCCACCCCACTCACCCACCCCACTCACCCACCCACCCACTCACCAACCCCACTCACCCCACCCACCCCACTCACCCACCCCACTCACCCACCCACCCCACGCACCCACCCACTCACCCACCCACCCCACTCACCCACCCCACTCACCCACCCACCCCACTCACCCCACCCCACGCACCCACCCACCCCACTCACCCACCCCACCTCACCCACCCACCCCACTCACCCACCCCACTCACCCACCCACCTCACTCACCCACCCCACTCACCCACCCACCCCACTCACCCACCCCACTCACCCACCCACCCCACTCACCCACCCCACTCACCCACCCCACTCACCCACCCCACTCACCCACCCACCCCACTCACCCACCCACCCCACTCACCCACCCCACTCACCCCACTCACCCACCCCACTCACCCACCCACCCACCCCACTCACCCACCCCACTCACCCACCCCACCCACCCCCACTCACCCACCCACCCACCCCACTCACCCACCCCACTCACCCACCCCACTCACCCACCCACCCACCCCACTCACCCACCCCACTCACCCACCCCACTCACCCACCCACCCCACTCACCCACCCCACTCACCCACTCACCCCACTCACCCACCCCACTCACCCACCCACCCCACTCACCCACCCCACTCACCCACCCACCCCACTCACCCACCCCACTCACCCACCCACCCCACTCACCCACCCCACTCACCCACCCACCCCACTCACCCACCCCACTCACCCACCCACCCCACTCACCCACCCCACTCACCCACCCACCCCACTCACCCACCCCACTCACCCACCCACCCCACTCACCCACCCCACTCACCCACCCACCCCACTCACCCACCCCACTCACCCACCCACCTCACTCACCCACCCACTCACCCACCCACCCCACTCACCCACCCCACTCACCCACCCACCCCACTCACCCACCCACTCACCCACCCCACTCACCCACCCCACTCACCCACCCACCCCACTCACCCACCCACCCCACTCACCCACCCACCCCACTCACGCACCCACCCCACTCACCCACCCACCCCACTCACCCACCCACCCCACTCACCCACCCCACTCACCCACCCACCCCACTCACCCACCCCACTCACCCACCCACCCCACTCACCCACCCCACTCACCCACCCACCCCACTCACCCACCCCACTCACCCACCCACCCCACTCACCCACCCCACTCACCCACCCCACCCCACTCACCCACCCCACTCACCCACCCACCCCACTCACCCACCCCACTCACCCACCCACCCCACACACCCACCCCACTCACCCACCCACCCCACTCACCCAACCCACTCACCCACCCACCCCACTCACCCACCCACTCACCCCACTCACCCACCCCACTCACCCACCCACCCACCCCACTCACCCACCCACCCACCCCCACTCACCCACCCCACTCACCCACCCACCCCACTCACCCACCCACTCACCCACCCACCCCACTCACCCACCCCACTCACCCACCCCACTCACCCACCCACCCCACTCACCCACCCCACTCACCCACCCACCCCACTCACCCACCCCACTCACCCACCCACCCCACTCACCCACCCCACTCACCCACCCACCCCACTCACCCCACTCACCCACCCCACTCACCCACCCACCCCACTCACCCACCCCACTCACCCACCCACCCCACTCACCCACCCCACTCACCCACCCACCTCACTCACCCACCCCACTCACCCACCCACCCCACTCACCCACCCCACCCACCCACCCCACTCACCCACCCCACTCACCCACCCACCCACCCACCCCACTCACCCACCCCACTCACCCACCCACCCGACTCACCCACCCCACTCACCCACCCACCCCACTCACCCACCCCACTCACCCACCCACCCCACTCACCCACCCCACTCACCCACCCACCCCACTCACCCACTCCACTCACCACCCACCCACTCACCCACCCCACTCACCCACCCACCCCACTCACCCACCCCACTCACCCACCCACCCCACTCACCCACCCCACTCACCCACCCACCCCACTCACCCACCCACTCACCACCCACCCACTCACCCACCCACTCACCCACCCACCCCACTCACCCACCCCACTCACCCACCACCCCACTCACCCACCCCACTCACCCACCCACCCCACTCACCCACCCCACTCACCCACCCACCCCACTCACCCACCCCACTCACCCACCCACCCCACTCACCCACCCCACTCACCCACCCACCCCACTCACCCACCCCACTCACCCACCCACCCCACTCACCCACCCCACTCACCCACCCACCCCACTCACCCACCCCACTCACCCACCCACCCCACTCACCCACCCCACTCACCCACCCACCCCACTCACCCACCCCACTCACCCACCCACCCCACTCACCCACCCACCCCACTCACCACCCACCCCACTCACCCACCCCCACTCACCCACCCACTCACCCACCCCACTCACCCACCCACCCCACTCACCCACCCCACTCACCCACCCACCCCACTCACCCACCCCACTCCCACCCACCCCACTCACCCACCCCACTCACCCACCCACCCCACTCACCCACCCCACTCACCCACCCACCCCACTCACCCACCCCACTCACCCACCCACCCCACTCACCCACCCCACTCACCCACCCACCCCACTCACCCACCCCACTCACCCACCCACCCCACTCACCCACCCCACTCACCCACCCACCCCACTCACCCACCCCACTCACCCACCCACCCCACTCACCCACCCCACTCACCCACCCACCCCACTCACTCCACCCCACTCACCCACCCACCCCACTCACCCACCCACTCACCCACCCACCCCACTCACCCACCCCACTCACCCACCCCACCCCACTCACCCACCCCACTCACCCACCCACCCCACTCACCCACCCCACTCACCCACCCACCCCCCTCACCCACCCCACTCACCCACCCACCCCACTCACCCACCCCACTCACCCACCCACCCCACTCACCCACCCACCACTCACCCACCCACCCCACTCACCCACCCCACTCACCCACCCACCCCACTCACCCCACCCCACTCACCCACCCACCCCACTCACCCACCCCACTCACCCACCCACCCCACTCACCCACCCCACTCACCCACCCACCCCACTCACCCACCCACTCACCCACCCACCACTCACCCACCCCACTCACCCACCCACCATTCACCCACCCCACTCACCAACCCCCCACTCACCCACCCCACTCACCCACCCACCACTCACCCACCCCACTCACCCACCCACCACTCACCCACCCCACTCACCCACCCACCCCACTCACCCACCCCACTCACCCACCCACCCCACTCACCCACCCCACTCACCCACCCACCCCACTCACCCACCCCACTCACCCACCCACCCCACTCACCCACCCCACTCACCCACCCACCCCACTCACCCACCCCACTCACCACCCACCCCACTCACCCACCCCACTCACCCACCCACCCCACTCACCCACCCCACTCACCCACCCACCCCACTCACCCACCCCACTCACCCACCCACCCCACTCACCCACCCCACTCACCCACCCACCCCACTCACCCACCCCACTCACCCACCCACCCCACACTCACCCACCCCACTCACCCACCCACCCCA